TGGAAAGTTTGTTGGAGCAGGAATGGGGATAACAATATGGCTGCCGTGTGTTTGGCCTAGTCTTCCGAAATAATCAAATTAATTGTAACTTATAATCAAACTTGAGGAGGAAAAGTTCCTGTCAATTTTTAATAAATTAAGTACTCAAAATCTATCCAAGCTTGCTAAGTAATGAATTCACGCAGTGCTGAGAAGAATAAAGGCTGTGCTCCAAATTAGGTGAGTTATTACAAGATACCTCTAGAATTATTTTAATTACTTTCATTTGCAGTTAAATTAGACTATTTTAATTTAATAAAGTACCGTCATGATGATTAAAAGTATGAATAATTTTCATTTATTCCTTGATTTTAGAAATACTATTATAAATTGAGCGCATATGTAAGCAAACTCTGGAAATAAAATGACATGCATTCTTGTTCACCAATGCGACCTATATTTTTTGGCTCTATTCTGCACTTCTACTCCATTTTCAGGATTAATGGGAAATATGTCAGGTAGAATGGAACGAGCATCGGGGATGTCCGTTAGGATCCCCAAAAGTGAGAGAGAGTGAGACAATTAGGACATAGGTTAGGTTTAGGGAAAAACTAGGATTTCCCCCCTTTCGGGGTGGTTTATAGTAGGTTAAGGGTTAGAGGAATTTCTAGAGGATGATAGAGGAAGCCCTCCGGGACGGGTAGGTCCGGCTAAAGAGCCGGCGGTGTAAGAACAAGGATTCTGGGGATTAATTGGTACGGGTGGAAGGCCGTACGGGGTAAACATATTAACAACCCCGACGGATTGCCAAAGACTGATTACGGGTGGAAGGTCGTACGGGGTAGATTCAGTCACCACCCCTACGAATTGCCAAGACTCAATACGGGTGGAAGGCCGCTCGGGATAAAATCAGTCGTTATCCCGGCGGATTGCACAATAAATTAAGGGTTAGTAAAATAAAATTAGGTTTAAGAATTAGGAATAAGGGTCTTTTAATTCCGAGAATGCCGGAGAACCGATCCGGAAAAAGAAATGAGGGCGATAGATAAATTTTAGGATTGGGGAATTAATTCAAATTTTATCTAATTCCCCCGCAAAGGGCTTGGCCCATAATAAGGTAGAGGGATCCACCAATGGACACCCGATCGATTGATAGGCGTGATTAGGGGGGTCAGCGTCCCGCGACACTGACCTCCGACAATCAGTTACGCATTAACCGCGAGAACATACGCACGTGAGTGACAAGTGAGGCTCCCAGGACGTGACGAGAGTGATACAGTGCACCACCCAGGACACCAGGACAATTAGCTGCAGTCACAATGGTCCTGCAGAGAAAGAGGAAGGCAGGGAGAAAATCTAGCATGAGTTTTTAAGGTTTTATTTAAAGATTTTTCCCCTTTTGGCGGCTCCTCACTAATTATTGGCGGTCATGAGAGTTTTCCGAGCCATGGGAATGGCATCGGTTGTGTCCCCCAAATTTTGGGTGGTTTTGAAGAGGTTTGTGGAGGGTTTTTCCGAACAATTTCGGCCTGCATTATCCCCCACTGCAGTTGGGAGGTTATTGGTGTAATTTGTGAGATTGTGAGGGTATTTTTATGATGATTTTTTGGGAAATTGTCGGGGTTCTCCCTCGTGGTGCCATCGAAGCAGCCATCCACTGGCTACGTGCAACAGGTGGGGGATCGCGCGTTAAATTTCCTCGTGGTTATTAATTGCCTCAACGGGGCTAATTACGCACCCTTACGCCTAAATTTTTGTGGGATTGTGGGGAATAATGTCCCGGACCAGATGGTTCAGGGCTTTCCGGAATCTGCTGAGCGGATTCCGAGTTATCGAATTTTAAGGGAAGTTAGATTTATTTTGTGGAGTGCTCCTCGCTGCTAACCGAGCAGTGAGGCATAGTGCCGTCTCGCTTGTTCTCTCTCTCTCTCTTTCTCGCTCGCGCTCACTCGTTGAGGGTCCGATTCCGGGATATTATCGATTTCCCGGGCGAAAATAATATTTCGGTTATTCCTCGGATTATCGCCGATCGATAATCCTTGAGGCCGCATTCCGATGAGATTACTCTATACGAGTGTGACATAGCCAACAAAATATTTCGTATTTTGTTAAATAATTTATGTTCGCGGCGATTTAATGAGACAGTTGAAGTTGTACTTAGATTTTTGTCAGAAAATACCTATTTCGCGAGAATTGAAGAGTACAATGAAATTTGGATTTGGAGTATTTTGTTTTGTCATTGATTATTCTTGTACTGAATTTTGACATGAATAGCGGAACACGTAAGGACAATGTTTTGTTGCCTTAATTTATTTGTCGCCTCCTCGTTCCTCTTTTTGGTATTTTTCCCGATTTTTGCAGTAACCTTGCCCCTATCTACGATCCACCCCTCTCTCCACAACTGGCATACTGAGCGACCCCAGGACCGTCACCTTTCCCCAAAAGCCTAATTATCCTTTCCGTTCCCTTCAGGTTCCCTTTTTGATTTTAGAGTATATTTTTGAGTTAGAGTTTTAGCAGTTTGAGGTACGATTTTCGATACAATGAATTTCGAGGTTAGTTAAGTTTAGGATTAAGGACTTTTTCCGGTTTGATAATTCCGGACAAAAATTACCTGGCGCCCATAAGGTTAAATTTTAGCAGGTTTTATTGAGCTTAGGGAAAGTACGGCGACGGTAATGTTCATTTTCTATTCCTGGCGAAAATGTCACGTTACAACACGTTAGACATATGGCATGGAGAAATATATATCTTTAACAATGTGTTCGGCCCACAGCCCGATGCGGGGATGCCACGTGCTATCGATGAGAAAATCTACCGATATCATAGAAATCAAATTGTCGATGAAGGCTATGTGAAATGAGTGACCAAGCTTAACACAATTTTTTTTAACAGTATTGTGTCTTCTGTGGATAACTTCTGGCCAATTAATATTCTGACCTTTAAGTTCTTTGCAGCCATCGAGGTGGCATACCAATTGGTAAATAGAAACAAGATTTTGTTTATAAAACATTTCGTTTTGTCAATAGAAAATAAACTGTATGTAATGTGATGTAACTTCGCTACATACTGTAACGTGATATTTTACCACGTTACCAGTTCTCAACCGTTGCGCGATTCTAGAGACTTCCACCAGACGGGAAGTCACTTTCAGTGGCGAGAGTTTTGTGTAAAGAGAAGGAAAATATTGTAACGAGCATCGGGGATGCCCGTTAGGATCCCCAAAAATGAGAGAGAGTGAGGCTACTAGGACATGGGTTAGGTTTTAGGAAAATTAGGATTTTCCCCCTTTCGGGGTGGTTTAGAGTAGGTACAGGATAGAGGGATTTTTAGAGGATGGGAGAGTAAGCCCTCCGGGGTCGGTAGGTCCGGCTAAAAAGCCGGCGCTCTAGGAAAAAGGGTTCTGGGGATTAAGTGGTACGGGTGGAAGGCCGTACGGGGTACAAATATTAACAAACCCGACGGATTGCCAAAGACTGATTACGGGTCGAAGGTCGTACGGGATAGATTCTGTCACTACCCCTACGAATTGCCAAGACTGGATACGGGTGGAAGGCCGCTCGGGATAAAATCAGCCGTTATCCTGGCGGATTGCCAAATTAATTAAGGGTTAGGAATATAAAATTAGGTTTAAGACTTAGGAATAAGGGTCTTTCAATTCCGAGAATCCCGGAGAACCGTTCCGGAAAAAGAAACGAAGGGCGGCAGGAAAATGTTAGGGCTGGGGAATTAATTCAAATTTGAATTAATTCCCCCGCGACGGGCTTGACCCAGAATAAGGTAGAGGGATCCAACAATCGACACCCGATCGATTGGTAGGCGTGATTGACGGGGTCAGCGTCACGCGACACTGACCTCCGAAAAGCAGTTACGCGTTGACCGTGAAAGACCACGCACGTGAGTGGAAAGTGAGACACCAGGACTTGACGAGGAGATACTAAGAATACGCAGAGGACATCGGACAGTCAGTATGGTTCAGAAAAGGAAGAAGAGGGCATCCACAGTGAGTTTTTACGGGTTATTTTGGTTCATTTTCCCCTTTTGGCGGCTCCCCAATAATTAATTGGCGGTGATGAATTTTTCCGAGCCATGGAAATGGCGTCGGCTGTTCCCCCGAAACTGGGTGGTGTTTTTAAGGAAATGTGGGACGATTTTCCGAACAGATTCGGCGCGTGTTTTCCCCCAGTGCGGTTGGTGGGTTGTTAGTGAGGATTTTTGGGATTTTAAGGATTATTTTAAGGATGGGATTTTTGTGTGAATTATCCACGGCCCACAAAGGGCCAGTGGTTTTCCCTCATGGCGTCATCGAGACAGCCATCGAGTGGCACGGGCAACAAGTGTGATCTACGCATTAATATTCCACGTGGCTATTAATTGGCGTGGTTAATTACCAACCTTTACGAATATGATTTTATGGAGATGTTCAGGATAATGTTCCGAGCCGTATGGCCCAGGGTTTTCCGAAATCCACCGGGTGGATGTGTCCATCGTGATTATTTCCGAGGCTAGGCGCCAGTATGGGCCATTCATCTCTGTTTGCTCCAGAACCGTCCCCGTGCGCGAGTCCCCCCTCTGTAAGTTAGAGTCCGGGAAGTGCACTTGGACTAGATGTTCCAGGATATCGCTGGGCTGTGTGATGATCTGCCCCTTAGGGAGTATGATCTCCCCCAGCCCTTGCGTTGGTCCCCCTGAAAAGACCCTGCGAAGCCTGGCTACCTGTGGTAGGGCTTCCAGGTCATCACCGAATTCCTTCCAGGCGGTTTGCTTTGATTTTTTGATGAGTCTTTTATACTCCCTCTGTGCATTTCTGTACTGAGTCCAGTCCTCATGGCTCTTTGTTCTGTAGGCATGGTTCCAGAGTCTCCTGGACAGCACTCTGAAGCTGTTCAGTTCACGGCTCCACCATGCCACTTTTTTCCCCTGCCTGCTCGCCTTTATCGGACATGCCTTGGGGAAGGCGCCGATCAGGGCGTCGTGGATTGTATCCACTTCATCCTCTAATCTGCGCACGTTGCTGGGTCTCAACCGCCGTTGCCCCAACCTTGACTCCAGCTCCTCTTTACAAGAGGTCCATTCCTGCGTGCGGGACCCTCCAACTTCCCGAATCTGCCTTCAATGCTGAATTTGATGGGTCTGTGATCGGATAGTGTGTCCTCCCGGTCCACCCTCCAGTCAACGCACCGTTTCGCTAGCCTCCTGTCACACAGCGTGATGTCGATGACACATTGGCAGCGAGAAGTGACGAACGTGGGTCTGAATCCCCTGTTTAGGATCTCCAGGTCCTCGTCTGCCAGATATTCCAAGAGGGATATGCCTCTGGCGTTGTTGCTCTCACTGCCCCAAACCACGTTCTGCGCGTTTGCGTCGCAGCCCACGATGAGTGGCAGCCCATTGCTTTTACAGTAGCGACTCCACTTCTTCAGTTCCCCCGTGGGCGGTGTCAACGCCGAGTCAAACGGAAAGTAGGCAGAGCAGAAGACAATGTCTTCGTATCCGCCCTCCCCCCGCAGGCCCACCGTCACCGCGACAAGGTCCCTGTGACAGAAGTTTACCATTCTCCTGGCATTACAAGCTCTTTTAACGGAGATGCAAGTCCTGGGTCCTGGTTCCCCCTGTGCGAAGAAAAGCTCATAGCCCCTGAGGTCAAGTCCTCTTGCCATACCCCCTGTTCTGGGTTCTTGGATGAGGCATATGTCTGTCTGCTCCACCACTTGGCTGCGACTCAGGAGAACCGTCGCCGCTTTGCAGTGTTGCAGGTTTATCTGGGAGCATTGGACAAGGCTTGGGGCAATGACTGCCCCTACCGTGTTATCCGCTCCCCGCGGTACCTGTCCAGAGGTCATCGAGGCTCCCTTACTTGGGCTTAAGGTTCCCCTCTGACCTACTGGGCGTGCCGGGGCCGCCCGTCTCTGGCCTGTCCCGGCCAGGGGTACCCGTCAAGACAAGAGGGTCGGTTGAGATCCTCCCGCAGCCCCCGCCGCCCCCCCCCCCGCGGCAGTGCCAGGGTTCCCTTCTGCCCGTTGGGGCACCGTCTTCTCTTCCCCAGTTGAGGGACTGGCGGGGTCCCCAAGGCTCTCGCCGGGTCCCCGTGCTCATCCCCCCCCGGGGTCGATGTTCCGGGTGTCGGGGGGACCACTGGATTTTGAGGGGTCTCAGCGGTCCCCTCGCTCCTACCCGTCCCCTTAGTGTCCATCTGGCCGTGCGGGTCGACCGTTGGTCCCGCAGTCCTGACGGGTGCTGGTTTCCGCTCCTCCGACCTTTTCCGAGGCTCGTAAAAACGAGCCTGTGTCAAGCCGTAGAACGGGCCCCAGCTTAATCCCTTGAGGACCTCAAGGGACCGGAGGTCCACACCCAGCACCAGGTTTAGGCCACCGTTTTTGCCTTCGCAACAGCCCCAGACCCTCCACCTCTCACTGGTTTCCAAGGGATGAAGGCCGTTACGCGTACCAGTTTTGGGAGCGCATCCTTCTCCATTACCGTGAGGGAGGCCCCTTCCCACGGCGCTAGTTTGGGCACCGCGGCCTTCAGCCAGTCTTTCGACCGGCCGTCGGTACACGTCACCCAAAGCACGCCCTGGTCGTAGCGGCGGCCCCCAAAACCCGGGGGATGCCCTTCGACATCACCCCCGAAGATGAGTTCCTCCAGCTTGTCCTGGACGAGGTTGGCCTGTGCCTCAGTCAGGGACGGCTCAGGGTAGCCGCTTGGTGTAATTTCTACCTTGCCGCCACCCCTTGCCGCCATCCCGAACGAGGTGGCTCCGAGGCCAGCCCTCACCCTTTGCTTCTTTCGGGTCGCAACGTCTTACGGCGGAGTGGCTCCATCAGATCTGGGTCTTTTGGACCCATTTCCTCGTTCCTCTCCTCCTCTGGCTGTCCCCGATTTGGTTGGAGAGCACTGTTCCCGCAAGTCCCCTGTTGCCATTCTGGCCTTACCGGCCCTGCGCTTCTCCGCACCTGTGCGACCCTTTCGCTTTTATAGGTGCGTGGGTCCGCCTTTGGCGACTTCCTCCGTGAGAGGAGTCACCTTCAGCGTCTCCACTTCCATTTCCGTAGTCTTCAGTGCCCCCGTTGGAGCATCAGAGACTGTAACGGCCTGGACAATCTGTAAGGTCTCAGACGTTCCCTCTGTGAGGGCACCGTCCTTGACGTTGGTAAAATTTGAATTAATAGGGGGGTCCATGTGGTTCCCACGAGTATCCTCGCAAGTAAAGGTCGGCCCCAGCAGAGCCGGGATGCTGGGGTAAGGCCTCAATACGGTGGGGTGCGGCCTGGTGCCCCAACGGTCTCGTTAACAACACTGTAACCCCAGTGCCATTCAGCCTTCGGCACGAATCACTTTCACCTTGGCTTGGGGAGTTGGTCTGCGGCGCGGCCTTCGGTTCCTTCCAGGTTTTCAGGCCCTTCAGTTCCCTTATAGCTCACTAACCGTCAATTTGGCAGGGCCGGCGAGGGTCAGTCCCATACCTCTATGTTTCCAGCCCTTAACCTGCCCTACTTCTCCGTCGGCCGTTCCTCTATCCGCCACCTGTGGACGCACCCGATTGGCGCTCAACCTTGTCCCTCTCCTCTCGTTTATAGAGCACGTTCAAGGACGTTCGGAAATTTTAACTTAACTATAATTTTTAATTTGGTTGTTATATTCAAATCATTGAATTATTAACAATCGATTCCAATTGTTAAAGAGTAATTCACAAATATCAATTTATTTCAGTAATTAATTTTAACTGAACTAACATTTTTAATTTGGTTGTTATATTCAAATCATTAAATTATTAACAATCGATTCCAATTGTTAAAGAGTAATTCACAAATATTAGGTTATTTAGGTAATTAATTTTAACTGAACGAAAATTTTTAATTTGGTTATAATATTCAAATCATTAAATTATTAACAATCGATTCCAATTGTTAAAGGGTAAGTCACAAATATTAAATGACTTGACGCTCTTCGATTGGCTTAAAAGCACGTGCTCCATCCTAGTTCATGCGCCACCGCTACGGACCCGTGCGGATGAATTCCGTAAGCGCAGACAATTTCCTCCAACTTACTAGTTTTATTCCCTAGAACAGCCCACCCAAACAGCGCTAGGGAATAGTAACGCTCTCGAAATAAAACTCTTGAAAAAGTGAATTCGTATCCGTTGCTATGGAGCTATTTTTGTAATAATGTAATAAGTGAGAAAAGTAAAAATCTCATCAGAAAGATCAACCGCGATTTATATAATGTATCTAAGGATACTTTTGCAAAATAGCGTGCGTTTAAAGGGGAAAAAAGCAATTGAAGTTTTTTTAAGGGGTTAGGGGCGAGTTGTTAGCTGTGATATAATACACGACAGCTCTCTGCCTGTGACGTCACCTCTGCCTGTGACGTCAACTTGGCAGATACGCTATCGCGTATGTTGATTTATTTTTTGCTGAGGATACCAGATGCATCCCCTTTCCGCTTCCGATTATTTGAATCTCCACGTAAAGAGCTACAGGAGTTATTGAAGCTGAGAGTGAAGAAGGATTTTGTTCACGGTGGTCATTCCGTTTTTAATGACCTGGCGCCTGACTAAATTTTCTGATTGACTTTTTGGGGTGTTTTGGTGCCAGAGGGCGGGCTGATGGACGGAGGGTTCCGTGAACCTTCGAAAATTACGTCGCAATACTTTTTATAGCGGTGAAAATAACGTCGTATTTTTAAGGATTATATGGTTTTTGAAAATGATCTCCAGATGTTAGAGAAATGAAAGCCAGTAAAAAATAATCTGAACTGTTGTTTTATCCATTCACAAGTAAAATTATAAACCGACGAAGTAAATACCTAAGTCCATATTTAAAAAACCATTATAGTTTTGCTTATATTTGCCGAATTTTCTCTTACACACTGTTCAAATCGTTGCACATTACTTTGGAAGTATTGATTTCACATATTTCTTTTCTGCATTTTTTTATTATTCTTTTGTTATGTGTTTGAAAGTGATTAACACTTGAAAGCATACCGAAATACGCAGGGGTTCAGTCTTTTTTTATTATGTCTGATAGAGGATATTACGCCGAATGTTTTGAAAGAAATGGAAATTGGTTGAAGGTTTTTGAGATATTCAAGAAAATGCTTTGAACTTCGATTCAGCCCATTTTCAATACAGGGCAGTGGTTCAGTAAGTGGATATTTCTTGGGAAATTGCCATTATATATTGGAAATCTCATAAAAATTACGCTCATGAATATACTTATTAACAAAAGAATTGATGATAATTTTTTTTATTTTGCGCCAAGTACATTCGATTTTTGCAACCAAGAAATTCAACGAAACTAATGATATTATTCTCTATTATAAAATATTGTACTCTGCATATTATACATGATATTATTTCGATTTTCCAACAATAAATTTATAAACTTTTAGCAAACAACGAATATTCTCAAAAATTCCCTCGTGAATTTTATAAGTACACGGTGTGTTTTTGGATGCACATTGAACGATTTATCGAACGTGATTGAATTCTTGCGCTGACAAATTTTACAATTACAATCATGTAAGTAATGTTTTCGATGAGAAAATCAGGGCAATTGAATGTTGAAAAAGTCTATTGAGAAATAAACTAATTCTATAAGAATAATTGTTGAAGTATAAGATCCCCATTGTTTGAACGTTATTTCTCTGACCGCCAAAATTTTTTCTATGAAAATGATAGGAAAACATGAAATAAATTTAAAACGATTTTAGGGATCCATATTGTCCAGAAAAAAACAGAGATATTTCTCGAGTATGAGTATCTCGATGAGGATTTCCGTCAAAAAAGCCAATGCGAGGAAAAATCTATCGATGAAGGATTATTCGGGAAGGGAGCAGACAATAGATCCACCAATGAGATAAAAATTCCTGTTTATCAGCACAGGTCTCAAAGCACTCCAATAACAAATTGCCAACGCCAGATAGTAATTGAATGGTACTCCAAACATTCAGAGTTTGCACGAGATGGAGACTTGGGAGTTTCTGGCCATAAAAGGAAAAACGAATTGGCAGCGAAGTAAGTGAGTGAGATTGATGAAAAAATATTAAATCGTTTCACCCAACGTTCTAACTTAATTTTATTGCAGGTTGGCAGATCATTTTTCGATGGTTGATAATCCTGTCACTCCACATCAATGCATCAGTGTAAGCTATTTATTTGCAGACTAGTTATATGACTGTGTCATATTGTTCATTTCGTTTCAATGTTTATAAGCTTGGAATCATCTTAAAAGTAGAGCATTAGAAAAGAAAGGGAGTTTGGAAAAAAAATACAGTCAAACTGGAAATCCGACAATTGATAAAAAATATGAATAGACGGAGGAGGAAAAATGAGGTATTGAAATTTGGGGATCAAGAACTTCGACGCCTATCAGCGGAGGTGCTGCTGGGTGTGCTAATAAAAAGCAGCCAGAAGTTCCAACGTCAACCCAATCGTGTGTTATTTCGCCTAAAAAAGCTATGCACAAAATAGACACAATAATTATTAGAATTAAGTAGTAC